CTTGGGTAGTTCGTGTTGACATTCTCACATTCTCTCTATTTCTCACACTCATTTACGGTTTCATTGTCTTTAGAGAGAAAGAACAAAAACCATTACTCTTTAATTGTCTACATTGTATTAATGGATCACAAGGATACTTTTGTTACATCACACATACAAGCATACTTATACTACTTTACTTCTACTTCTACTTACTACATACACATACACACACTTGCACTTGGACCTTACTCCTAGTTCTAGACTCTCTTACACAAGCAAGGTTAAACTACTAAACCTTACACAACAACAACTCTTAACCACTACACTTGACAACTCTACTAAGCTAGTCTTTGACTAACACAACACACTTACTCATTTGGGCCTAACAAGACATTTAGCCCAATCACTTATTCTTACAAAACAACACAAGCCCAACTTGTCTCTTGTTGTGTTGACTTTCCTCTTTGTCGTTGACATCTTCTTTCACGACAACATCTTCTCCGACATCGTCTTCTTCTTCCGATGCTTCTTCCTCTGTTCTTCATCTTCTTCTCATGGATTCTTCTTTTCTCTTTTGCAGGTTCAATCAAGGATACAATTCCAACAGTTCGGGAAGAACAGAACGAATCCAGCCACCACCACGTCGTTGAGCTTATCCGGCAAGAACTTGTCTTTGTCCGGATCCTCGATAGGGAGATCAACCTTATGCGTCTCAAGAAAGGGGGTGAATTCAGGGGACGAAACGTCATTGGTGGAAAATGGAGAAGGGGAGATCTCCAAGAGAAAGACGGTGACGGCTTGGAATGGACGGGAGTTGAAGAGAGTGGAGGCAAGACCAGACTCGGTGGCGACAAATAGATGCGTGAGGCGCTCAAAAACCGCCATCTGGTGGATTAGCTTGTGAATGAAAGGGACATCAGTCGGCGTCGCCAGGCGGATCCGGGAAAACATAGGGTGGCCAGTCGGTGAAGTCTCTGGCACGGTGTTTGGCTCTGGTGCTGCGGTTGGAGGCGCCATTTTTTTGTTACTTGTCTTTGAAGACTGTGATGTGGAAATTAGTTTTTTCGAGAATCCATATATATAAAGAAAAGAAGTGGATGTTACATCTTTCTAAGGCTATCAAGTTCGGATTAGAAATTATTTTACAAGCCAATCTTAATATGCCACATATGATTAACTAAAACGCTATCTCATCCTTTTTTGACTTTTAAATCGATCCGTCTTCTTGAAAAACGTCATGTTTTACACGTAAATTAGGTCACTCTTTTACTTTTCTTTTTTTCGTTCAGGTTGAGAAATCAAAGAGACTCCGCATTATCACCATATCAACTCAACGTATCAGTGTAATGTTTAATTAGCCGTCCCTCAATTTTGGATAACGCATCTCTCTCTTATCTCATCGTATAGGTCACTGATCATCTCTCTCAAGACTTTGCTAGCGATTTTCAGTCTTTTAAACATCATTCTTAATAATTTTAAGCTCTCATTCTATACAACGTACAAATCATTAGAGAAGATTAGGAATAAATGTAGCCTAGACGGTCATGATCTATACCGTTTACATTCCAATCTTCGTTCCACTTGGTATATTTACCAATTTAATTTAGGAATAAATTGATGAATTTCGATAACACCATCACAATTTTTTTTTAAGTCGGTAAAAAGACATGTGTGATGAAGAAACGTGAAGCACATGTCGTTATATCAAGGAAAAAGACATTTTGGACCAAAATTTTTGGTTCCAAAGAAAAATACAAGAAAATGAGTGGAAATAATTGTCCATCACACGTACTACTTTGATATTTATTGTCGTTAGAGCAAAACTATCAATTTTAGTTACTACTTTTATTCTTTAGCTAGTGTTTTTAATAGTTTTAATTGTTAATAAATGGATATGCTTTTCTTTGACAATAAATAAATGGATATGCTTTTGAGTGTAAATCTAACCTATAGTGATATTATTAGAATGTATCTGTTTAGTTTTATGTCCAGGTTCATGTCTAAGCCGAACTGCACACTTTTACCAATCAATGACATGAGATTATTTACTTCTTGTGTTGAGTAGTATCATTGCAAAAAAGGCTCGTTCTACTCCGATTTGTTTCACTTGCTTTGTTTGATTTCTCGGTATTGTTCTGAAATTCTTCTTCCATTTACGTTTCACAATCTTTGAAGTTGTAAGTAATTAATCTCAATCAAAGAGGTTCTTTTAAAGCAGTAGGACAAATGCTAACTTTGATTATCACTATTATTTCTAAGTCTTCTGTTTCTTATTCTCTACCCAAGACAGAGGGACTGATAAATCTTAGTTGTTTCTCTCCTCTAGAGAAACTGAAATAAGGATTGTCCTATAAAGTTGCAACCATCTTAAAGACTTGTGCCTCACAACTCACAAGCAACTTATGGACCATCCTAACGCATATACCAAATTGGCCAAACTAACAACATTTGATGTATTTTTTACCCCAAAAGCAGAAACACACTGAACAATTATCTGTTTCCACTATACGTATTCTAGGATCACTAATGACAAACCTCCAATTCTACACCAGATACTACAGTAAAGCAAACACGGCGAGGAATCACAATTACACAACTCTACTTTAAAACCTTGAAACATTTCATACATTCAACAAAAGGGTTTGTTCTCATTCAGAATCCAGTAAGTAAGCATAGCGAATTCATCATCATCATAAAAAAAACACAAACTTTAAAGCTTAGAGCAAGAGGAAGTGAATCGATTCGATAACTCTCAGCCACCAACTCATCAATCTCTAGATGTTTACCTGATCAAAAGCTTCAAGAGCATCACCAGTAAGTCTACAAACTCTCCACTCCTGCAAAATCTGAGCACCCATCTGCTCATAAAACTTGATAGCATTCACATTCCAATCAAGAACAACCCATTCCACTCTTCCATAACCCATCTTCACCGCTTGTTTCGCCACAGCAGTCAACAACATACTACCAAACCCTTTCCTCCTATAAGGCTCTCTCACAAATATATCCTCAATGTAAAACCCAGGCTTCGACAAAAAACTCGAGTAATTCGGGAAAAACAGAACAAACCCAGCAACAACGACGTCGTTTAACATATCCGGCGAGAAAATGTAACTCTCCGGATCCTCAAT